TATAACCTGTTTGTATCACAGCAGCAGTTGTGAGTTACTGATTCTTGCACAATTCCTATTGCCACTTGCCATGCACTTGACCAACTTAACCTAACTTAGAGTAGCCCATATGATAAACATCATCTCAACTCACCTGTCTGTTGACAGCAGCACTTGTGGTAAAAACATGATATTTAAGGCTAGTTTTTGGCTGGTTTCAACTTGCATTTTTATTCAGTTCATTTGTGTATGCTTGTTAACATCAGACCAAGTTGACAACACACAAATCAAAACACTTTAAATCACTTTGAACAACTTATTTTGATTGTCATGGCTAACCCATGTCAAGGGGAATAATGGGCATACTCCACAAAACAATCTCTCTTCTCCAAAAATAACACAACTTTTAGATGACCATGCCAGTATTGTTGCCTGCCTTTTCAGCTGCACCAAATGCATGTTTGGGCTTGTTTATTCATTTGGGCTTGTTTATTCATTTGGGCTTGTTTATTCATATCTAATGACAAAGTTTGATATGTTGGCTTCACATTTTGAATGGGGTGGTCTATTTGTTACATATCAATATTTAACTCACATTATAAGTGGTATGCGGCTTAGAGTATTACTGTGTTAAAAATATAGCGCATATATACAATAGTCATTTGCCAGTCAGCAAACCATGACATCTACAGAAAACATCTGGTTAAAGCAGTCATGAGGAACCACTTTAGGAAACTTGGGGAAAATAACCAAGAATGCGGAGAAAAATAAGCCCATTGCAGGCCTTGTGGCATCATACTTTGTCTTAAGGCAACACTCGATGTATTTAAACAGGAAATGGCTAACTCTGGTTACCAATCATGTGTTGAAAGCAGGTGAGGCAAGCAACTACTTGGTCCACAGGAGACTTACTGGCTTCTTCCTGCTCCCCTCAAAACAAAAATTCAGTACATTTTGCGTGGTCTGCTGGCAGACAGGGTCATCCGACTCACCGTGAAATATAAATATCAACGATGCCCAGCAACCTTCGAGATTAAAATGCGAAACAAGTACAAGATGTACATGATAAACATCTCCGGAGGGCAGAATTTCGCCATCAAACACTTTCTATTAGCTGCGTTCCGTGCTTCAAATTGTCTCCTTCACTCCCTGTGAATTGTTCACGCTTGGGTGCATATCAAACATGTTTGGGCGGCTGGAGAATTAATCCAATTTGTGTATGAAACGCGTACAAGTTTGCAGTTGGAGCATCTTGCAGAAAAATTGGCTAAATTTTAAGCAGCAGATAGCACCTCTAAAGACCATCGAAAAAGAGGGAAAAATAAAGTGATATCACACTGGCATGATACCAAGAAAAGCAAAAGTAGCTAAATAAATATAAAGACCTGTACTTTTCTCACAAAATTTTGGGATCAGCTGATTTGACTTAAAATCTGTTAATACAAGTGCTCAAACGGTGATATTCATCTTGCAAGTTAAATTTAGAAGACATTTCTTGAACTTTTCACTCATGTATTTCGGGAGTGATGCAATTTAGTGGTCAAGTTTCCTCGGGGAAACGAAAAACGTGGAGTAAAATCTCTACCAGTACTTGCTGGTGTTTACACCAGGCTCTGCTTTCGTGGTGTGGTGGTGAGACTAAAAAAATAGGGGATGCGTGAAAACCTTGTAGTTGGCGCACAGCTGCATTTTGTGATGCATTTTGTAAACAAACCCAACTTAATGCGTGCAAGCGGCTGGGATCGCTGGGGTTCTTGGGCTTGGAGGTACCTGGCGCCCTTGCTCTGTGCATACATAGACATGATTCAGATGTAGGTGAGCCAGGACATAGCCATAGGTGTCCAGGTTCTGCGAAGCCTCGTTTATGCTTGGTGGTTTTAAGTGAGCTCGGTTTGGGATGACATCTGAAAACCTCAGAAAGGGAAATAGGGGTTTGGCATGTGCGATTAGACAATGTCAGGCAGGAGTAAAAAATTCACATAAAATGTGGGGAAAAGGAGTGAAAAATTTCTCCTCATAGGGTGTTGCTTTACACCCAAAGTCGGCAACTCTGAATTGTCTAGAGTTATGCAAACCATGGTGCGGCTGTGCCGCGCCGTTTGGAAACCATTCTGGAAAAACCTTCCGGGTGCGAGTCAGTTTGAACCCTCATCAGAGTGCGTGTTAAGGTCAATTAACTGCAAAAATCAGGCGTTTAACGACCGCATGGAATAAATCACCGGTGTCCTTAACTTGCAAGGGTTTAGTGGACTCTTTCTAAACCGACATAATTCAGAAGCTTTTTCATGTTTTATCTGCGTTCTACAGACATTGAGGACATGGCGAATGTAGGTTGCAGATCGATATGTTGGATCTAAATTTGAGGGTGAAAATTTTGACTGTAGATTGAGTCGTCAACACTGTGTATTAACATCGCCAAGCCATGTTTGTCTGGAAATGTTTAATATTCATTCAGAACCCAGTAGTGACACATTTTATGTAACGTGGTTTTTAACATGCGCGCTCGCAAATCTAAGCAACAAAAACGTCTGCACCACGCGTTGCAGTCACCATTGTCCGCGGAGCGCTAGCTCAGTGGTTAATTTTTCGTCATGGTTCACCGGTGGACGAAAATGATAACGGTTCTGAAATAATTGCCTTCAAACGCTTGCATCGGTTAGTAATAAAGTTGTGACATAACTTTGAGCAAGCGTGCTCGCAAATCTTAGTTTTAAAAAACCTCGACTCCAGGCGTTGCAGCCTCCGTACGCCGCGCAGCGTGCGCTCAACAGCTAATACTGAGCCGTGACCAACGGGTGGATGAAAATGATGGCGCTTCTGAAAGAAGTACTTTCGGATGTTTCCGGACATCAAGCCTTACATCTACAAGGCAATCTGGGCGCATATTTCACGTGTGCGATTTTTAGACTGGTGATAAGAACAGATTGGCCCTTAAAGCACCGCAAAGTGGAGCCGGAATCTGGTAGTGGAACTGGAAGGGTAAAGGTAGATTCACTATATTTCGTGTTTCTGTAACTATCAATCTGTCCAGAAGACATTAGTACGGCGTCCGCCGTCTGGTGGCACTTGCAGTGACGGACGTCGTTCAGTTTTACGGAAGCTGCAATCCAGACCATCGCTGTCCCTGCTCTCGACTTTGCGGGCGGGCATGCTGAAACCTTTTGGTGCACTTTTTTCACTAGAGCATTCTGAAAAAATAAAAGTTCTTATAAAGTATTATATACTATGATTTAATCAATCTATATTATATTTAGATTTGATGTATTATATAGATAGATTTAATTTAATTAATATTATGTAATAAACATTATGGGCAAACATGGGATGGCTTTGTTTTCGTTTTCTAAATTCATTTCGACCTGCTCGTTTCAACAATAATGAGACCATCATTCTACTCAACAATAATGAAGCTCCTTACTTCCTTCCCGGCAAGGGGCCCCTTGAGTAGAACATCGAGGGCACGTTATCGGTTCCGGTCAAGAGCTGAAGGGCCACTCCGTCCCATCTCAGAGTGTCTTCTGGCTGTCATTCTAGTGACACGGGACGGGGTTTCCAGGTCGATCCGGAGGCAATAGAAGGATATATCATATCACATTGTTCCCCTCCCTGACACGGGAAGCCTTCTGGGCCGCGCAGTTGGTCCCGGATCAGCATAGGAACCCTCAGTGACACAACAACATCTCTGATCGCCAAAGGTGGTCCAATAATTCTCACACAGGTCCCAATTCCGTGTTTTTCTGTTTTCTTCAGAGATATTGAGGAATCCCTGCACGTAGATTGTACATGAAATGGGGTCCTAAGCTCGTATTAACATGGCTAATCCATGTTCGTCTTTAAGTGTTCAAGAATTTAGTCAGAACTAATTTTGGTAAAAATACTATGTAATATGGTTTTAACATTCGCGCTCACCAGTCATAGCAACCACAGCCTGAACGCCGGCAACTGCAGTCTCCCATAGGCCGAGTGGCATGGGCCCTGCAGCTGTGACACTAAGCGACGGCCAATAAGCAAACGAAAAAGATGATGCATATTGAGGAAGATGGCTGGTGAACTAGGTAAATGCGCATGTGCATTTAAACGTGGTGCCAAAGTAGCTAAACACAACCCTTAATCTGAGAAGTCGGGGGCCAGTTAACACTGCCGGCCCCCCACCTTGAAAAGTGGGGGCCATGGTCCCCCTCGCCCTCCCTCTGTTCCGACACCCATGCCTGGAGAGCACAAATATGAAGAAACAGAGACAGAAGGGCAAGGCTGTGAGTCACAGGAGGGTTAGTCACAACGGCAAGGTTGATAAGAATCACTGATGATTCACTTCATAAAATCTTCTGCTATTACTTCAACACACCTTCTGTTTCACAACTTCAAGTACTTCATAAAACCTTCTGCTATCGCCCGTGTCTGCTCCACACATTAATGCCCGTCAACAGAAGTGATAACGAAGCCTTCCAGAGCCGTCAGCAATTGTTTGGTGCAAGCACTTTCGCAATGCAACGAGCGAAATTATACCGTAAACTATTGGGCTCAGAGACTACTCGTTCATCCACTCATCAATAGCATGGTGCGACGTGAGCAGCCGTGGTCAAACAAATGGACGTGGTCGTGCTGCCAAGCCTTTTGGTTGCGCTGCCTTTGGTCCTAAGCCGGCGTCGAGTCGCCGCGAAATCCTGAGCATGCAATCCATATTCCCCACCATCAGTTCCAGTCGGCTATGATAAGTGATTACCGTCCGTGACCGTGCAAGGGCGGCGGCCTCCCCGGGTTTGATAGTAGCTACTGTAAAATGAATAGGAGCCTGATGGTGGAGCACCATTTCGGTAAAGAAAGCGTCCCTCCTCGCATTAGCTTCTTTATGCCGTTGGCTTGTAATTCGATGTGAGCGGTCTCGGTCTCGCAGTCAATCGTACGCACGTTCCCGCTGTCCCCACAAGGCCACGTCCTCCCTGGCAACGCTGCCCGCTGCGAACAAACCGGCCGACCGGTCGGCCGCGTCAAACGCTGCTCGCACGTCTGCTCGGGTGGACATGTCCGCCACCCTGCCGCTGCTGGCCGTCGCCATGTTGGTCGGCGTCTTGTCGGTGCCGGAGCAGTTCCATCGTGCCGCCGACCCGAGCTCCGGCGTGAAGCTGCTCTACGTGCCGGCCGTCTCGCCGTTGATCTGTGCACTCCTCTGCTCGAATGACCGCACGCCCAGCTGTGGAGGCTTCGCATTTGGCGGCGGCGCGTGTCGCCTCGTCGAGAATGTGACCGCTGCTAAGCCGGATGGCCCAGCCCAGGTCGACTTCGTGCGCCAGCCGGCGTTGGTGGCGCCTTGCCGGGCCACCTGGCACCTCTATCGGGACGGGTGCTACCTGCGCGGCCATCACCCGGCCGGCGGCCGCGGCACCTGGGGAGTCGCGCGCCATCTGCCGCGCCCAAGGCTCCGACCTGCCACACTCACCGACCGCCAGCAGACCGTCTACCTGAACTACCACCGCTCTCGACCAACACCACGGAAGCACTGGGAGCGTACGTGCGAAACGGTGTCATACCAACATCGATGGAACGGCACCCACTGACCTGCCCGTGCTCAAAATGGAAGGACAACGGCACCGTGAACTTGCGCTTCGTCGACACAAAGAG